AAAAGTAATAATTGCTTCTTGACTGCTTCTTGTTTCTATTGCAGTTTCCAAGACCTCAACCCTTTTTTCTAGACAAGCATGCTTTTCGTCTCCTTCGTCTACTCTTTTTGTTAGCGTGTCTTGGTTCTTCTCTATACTATCAACTTTTACAGTAAGATTTTCTTGATCATCTTTCAAAGAGCTTACACTCTCAGCAATAGCAGATGTGTTATCAACCACTTCGTCTACTCTGCGGCTGATGTTTTCCTGAGATTCTTTCAAAGACTCAATCTCTTGTTTGTATTCTTCAAGGGCTTCGTGGACACTTTGCAAGGCATTGCTCACTCGAAGGGCTTCATCTGCTTGGCTTTTTTTAAGACGTTTTACATTTTCATTTAGCTGGGCAACTTCTGTCTCAATAAACTTGACCAGATCTGCGTCCACGATGGTACCCATACAAAGTTGTAAACCTGGAGATGAAGCAACATTTAGTAAACAATGCTTAAAAACGGAGGGGGAGGGGGGGGGGGATTTTGGAACAACCCTGTTAATCCGTACCTTTTGTTTCCCAGTCTTGTAGCTGATCAGTTATTCGCTTCTCTTCAGCTTTAGGCAAGTTTAGAGCTCGTACAAGTGACTCCATCTGCTGGAAACACTTCGCAAATTGTATTCCATTCCAGTGCCCAAAGTTACAATGTCCCCATTCATTCCTGACGTCTTTTCGGACATCACTGGACGACAGTTGAACTGCAGTAGAAAATACACTAGCAGAAGAGAGAATACCAAGTACTGCAGATAAATCACAAGTATCATCAAAACCTGTCAAAAGACGATAAAAAACAAATAGAAAGTTAAATAGGTCAGAATCATTTACTCTTCTTCAACCCATCAGTGAAATAATGTATCACTACCAACCTCCTATTTCATGCGTTCAAAGGTGAGGAGAGGCTTCTTGTCAGTATTGGCCTTGTTTGTAAATCTATACGCTAGGTAGACATGATTATTACCTGTGAATTTGGCCATGAAAGGCTGCAAGTACAGCTTTGCCAAGTCAACTGCAGATTTGACATTGTAGTCGTAAAGACTGGTTTTCTTCCTGTGTGTTGCTTCATTGTTGTTGATGCTGCCATAATTCAAACTGTTGCACTTTCCATCTTTAAGTAAGTGTTTTGCGTGATTTTGCTTGTCAATATTTTGGGTAGTTCTCAGATGAGTGTAATGCTTGATCATTTCAGGTTCTACAAAATCTCGTAAAGCTGGTAGGATGACTTTGTTGAGACAAATACCGGTTACAAGCCATCTTTTCTGATCATCACTTAAGTTAAAGGAAGGAGATGAACCTATACAATAACCAATTAATAATAAACAAATAAACATACATACAAAAAAAACAAATATAGGTAGGTAGGTGGATGGGTAGGTGTGTGGGTAGGTGGGTGAGAAGGTGGGTAGGTAGGTGGGGTGGGTGGGTAGGATGGTAGCTAGGTAGGTGGGTGAGTAGGTGAGTAGGTAGGTGGGTAGGTAAGTGGATGG